CAGCCGAAAAATGAACGATAAATAAAAGAGTGCACACTGTGAGGAGGAGCTTTTTTAACCCCTTGCTCGGCTGAGCGAGCTTCCGTCGGAGCACCGGCATGGCGCTTCTGCTCCAAACTCTCGTTCCTCCCTCCCGCCCTCTCCCCCCACCTGCATTATCCCTAAACCCCTCTCGTAATTTGCGTCGACTCGAGCTGCCCGACCTCGCCCCTCCCCGCTCTTTCTCCTGGATCCTCGCAGATCACGGCAAACACTGTCATAACAAACAACACGACGGCCACCGGGGGGGGGGGGGGGGGGGTAATTCAAGAAAAGTGTCGCATCAATCTGTCGGCGTGCATTTTCTTTTCGTGTGCGCCTCCTTTGGTGTTGATCTGAAGCAGCTCTGTCCCTCTCCGGGTCGGCTTCGATGTGGGTCTGGCCTTTAAATAAGCTCCATGCCCCCTCGCCTCCCCCTCCCCCTTTGCTCCCCGCGGCGGCTCCCGTTCGCTCCCCTGCTGGCATTGCTTGCCGACCCTACCCTACGTCTGGAACGAGGGACCGCACGTTCGCCCGCTATTCTTATTTCGCAGGAAACGGGGTTGGGGGTGCTGGTGGGGTGGTCGGTGTGGGTGGTGGGGGGCAAGGCCGAACTTCTATTAGGGCGGAGCGGGTCGGCGTCGCCGCTCCGCGACCGTTCCCTGGGATGGCGTGGCCTGGCGTGGCGCGGAGCCCCCCCGCCGCCCAAGCACCCTGAGCGTGGTAGTAATGCTCCCCCAGGCCCCGCCAGGTATGAAGGGGACATGTTCTCATTCCGTGGGGGGGAAGCGCCCGTCCTTTCTTTTTATATTCCTGCAGCCTAAATAATTTGAAAAGGACCGAGGACTGCAGCAGCCGCAAGCACGCGCAACGAGAAGTGTCGCCGCGCTGCGTCGCGGAGAGTCGTCTCTCTTCCTCTCTACAGACAGCCTCGCAGCGAGGAGAGTCGTCTCTCTCTTTCTCTCTACAGCCAGCCTCGCAGCGCGGAGAGTCTCCTCTCTTACTCTCCACGGAGAGTCACCCCGCCCCCTTTCCTCCTCTCTGGCCAGCCCCGCGGCGGAGGTGGACCCCTGCCGGCCTTAGGGTAGGCCACCTGCCCAACCTACATGTGTTGCACTTCAAGATATTGCCTAGCTAGCGGGCGTTTAGCTACTCTGAGATTGCACATTGCACATTGCGATGCTTTCTCTGTTATTGGTTTTCGTATTTTCTTTCGGTCTCGGGTCCCGTACACTAAACCTGTATTAAACTACGACACACTTGAGTGACCCCAATGGAAATTTTGGCCTGCTTTGATAAACGTCGACTTTCTGAAGTATCCTTTCCGATATATCAGAGCAATTTCGTTGATCGTCATCCGTGAACTTAGATTTCCTTAAGTGAAGTTCACGGCTGCAGTGTGTCGAGGTTTCGGGACTTATTTCCGCTTGTTTCGAAACCGCATCTATCTCCTACCCCTACCCCTTGCCTTTTCCTTTTCCACTTACCCCTCTTTTTCCTCTTTTGGTCAACACCCGAGGTTTGATGACGACTCGTGTCATGTTCGGCGATACCGAGCTCTGACCTCGGCTCTGACGTAATCGCTCTGGTCCTCCGGCAGTGCCCTTCTCTCCCTCACACGCCAATTGCTGCTGGGGCGTTACTGCCACTAGCTGCTCCCTCCTAATGAGCGGACTTCGCTGGCCGCCGCGTCGCCAGGTACGCGCGCCCCGCCCGCCACCACGCCCCACTCCACCCCACCCCGCCTGGCGCACTGCGCAGCCCCGCTTGCACTGCGGATGCTGCGGGCCGTGAAACATCAAAGGCGGAGGGGGAATTGCATCTCACTGCACTCCCCCTCCCGTCTCTTCCCCCTCTCTGCTGTCGGCAAGCTCTCACCCCCGCGCCCCTCTGCTTCCACCCACAAACTCGGCCGCACATCACATTTGCCCTTCCCTCCTCATCCTCGTCCTACGCTGCTGCTGTCTCCTACTTTCACTTTGCACCCTCCTACCCTCTCTCTTGTCACACGGCCTTAGCCCCCCCCCCCTTACCATTTCCTTTCTCGCGTGCTGAGGGTGCGTTTTGCTGCGCGGCGCTGGAAATGAGGGACGAGCCAATTCGGAAGGTGGTAATGACTGAGCACGCCCTTGGCGAGAGAGGAAGAGAGGGAGAGCGAGGGAGGGAGAGCGAGCGAGAGGGAGAAGAAAGAAAGCAAGAAGGATGGGAGAGGGGAGGGGGCGCTCCGTGACGGCCCCGCGTGCGCCTGCTGCCTGGAAGATGGGCCTCGTGCCCAACGAGATCTCGACGTCGAGATTCTCATCGCTCGCTTGGGTCCGGGCGGGCCGGGCCGGGCAGCACACCACTCTGTTGCGGCGCGACCCCCGGGGTGAGATCGCGACCCGATGCGGCGCCCGGCGGTGACCTCGGGAATATTGGCCAAAGTTTCACTAATAACTTGTCGTGGCCGGGCGGCCGACGTTTATTGTCGTCCAAAAGATTGCCATGGGGCTCCTGGTGGGTCTGAACTCCAGTACCCAAAGGAGTTGTCCGGCTTTCTGAAAGTGAACTTATTGCGGTTTTCTTTGTTTCGAATGCACGAAATCTTCTTTCTTTCTTTCATCATTTTTTTTTTTGTGTGTGTGTTTTTTTTTTTGTTTTTGTTTGGAGTACTTTGTTGTCCGTTCCTTGCCGGGGTGCAATAGCCCCGCGCGCATGTGTGCGTGTGTGATGGAAGTTTTGGACGCGGCGGCTTGTTATGAGTCATCCTGTGCGTGGTGGTCCAGGCCGGCCCTGCTGCCGGCGAGAGGGCAGTGGAGGGGGGGTGACGAGGTGGTGAAAAATTGACGATGAGGGGTGCAAACAAAAAAGCTCGGAGCCGAGAGGGCGTGGGAGCGCAGGGTTGGAGTGGAACTCGTGGAGAGGGGGAAAAGGGGGAAGGGGGAGGGGAGCGCTATGCATACTGCAATAGGAAACCGCGTGCTGCTTGCTCTGCGGGCTGAATTTGTCCCGACTGAAATCACTCGCTCTTTCTCTACATTTCGTGTCTTGGAAGGCTCCTCGCTTGCTTGACTCAAGTGCGCAGCAGACAGCGGGCAAGAAGTCCAGTGAATAAATTAAATTGCTTGCCCGTATCGCACTTGTATAAGCAATAAAAACAGCTGTTTGAAATTACATGATTTGACTTTTCGTGTACCCTGAAACGATTTTTTTTGGCCCACCTCTTTCTCTTTTCCCTTCGATAGCGTCAAGCCTCCCCTAGGCTCCTGCGGAGGATGCCTGCCCCCGCCCAATGTATGCTCTCCCGCTCTCTCTGCAGAGACAACACTCGCTCACGCCGCCGTTCGCTCAGATTGGAGCCGATGACACGCCTCTGCTTTCAGCAGCCGTACCAGACCGACGCACCCGCTTCTGTTCCGTTCACCCTCCCCCCCCCCCTCTCTTCTCACTCACCCTCCCTCCATCCCTTTCTACGACCTCCCGACCTCCCTCCCGACCGCCCCTCTCTCTATCACGGCCTGCCGTAATTTTTTTTAGCGGTTACCCTTTTAAATATCGTACACACTCCCGTCTAATTTTTCCTTGAATAACCTCTCTGTATTTTCGAGTGTAAACCTTTTGTAATTAACTTTATTTATAACTTTCATCATGTCCTCCGTCAAACCCGAGGTCAAACTTGTGGCACTCGTCTCGTTAGCTATTCCTATAATGTGTACAATATTTGACCAATAAGTATCTAAAATTTCTGAATAAAT